ATTAGAAAAAAAAATATATTATTTTGACAAGGCAAGCAAGGTTGATCAATATTAATTTACACATCAGCCTCTCCAGAAAATTCTGTCCCTGCTCCACTCAGACGGAGCGTGACGCAATTTTGCACACACGTTAAAAGGCAAAATTCGTAATATATGGAGCAAAACAAATTTCAAATATCTTTCACAGCCCAAACTTTAATCAGCGGCTGAATTTATGAAGTCCAAAGGCTTCTTTTTATCAGCAAGACAGTGTTATAGCCAAAACAATGTGCACCGGGCATACTGATGGTGCTCTTGGTATCGTCTGAGCCACTCTAATCTGATGCTGAACTTCCCTTTTATTATGGATGTCATTCCGCAATACCTGTCTTTGTTTTATGGGTCTAGCTGGAGCTCTTTCAAAGAGCGAATGGCGTGGGCGCACCACGCACGCACCTGTCAGCTCATTTTAGCGCTTGCTCCCCAGCTCAGCTGAGAGCGGCTGTGTGTTTATCCTTAGCTTATAATCGTCAGTCCGACAGGCCGTCCCTGTGGAGCTGCTGTCAGACCACCGGGGACCGTATATGTGACGCATTCCGCCCACGCAACAAAGGCCCTCTTCAGACAAAGCCGGTACCTGCACCAGAAGGAGGAAGTCGGTGCTTCACTGCAGGAGTGAACTGATTTTTAGAGTCATTTCCACCTCCTTATATGGCAGGTGAGTACATCTCTCTCAGTCTTGCTGTCAGTCTCCGATTCTAACTCTGTCGTTCTCTCCATTCACCTTGAATTCTGAAAGCACCTCCTCCTCCTTCTGTCTGGAAGATTTCCATTTCAATATCCGAAACCCCTTTAGTCCGACGTTACGAGTGCTAGTTGCCCATTAACGCTCACTCCCAGAAGGACACCAAAATTGATCATCTTCATCCTTCTGTTTAATCGTTCCTGACAATTTACTGGAGTGGAAACCTTCTAATTAATGCATATACTTCTGAACTCACAATAAAAGGGTATTTTGAGTTTTGCGTAGCAGGGATGTGAAGTGGGTCCAAAATCAAAGAAATTTAAAGGGATAGTTCACCCAAAAATGAAAATTTCTGCATGCAAATATGCATGAGTTTCTTTCTTCTTCTATAGGCTATTTGAAAGAATGCTGGTAACCAGTATTTTTTTTTTCATAATATGGCTACCGTCAACTTTGGTTATACCAACATATCTTCTTTTGTGCTCAACAGAAAAAAAGAATCTCTTACAGCTCTTTCTCACTCACCTCAACAGAGAGACTGTCAAAGAGAACAACTTAAATACACTGTAAACTTTACTTCCAGGCTACCAATCCATCTACTCCTCCCCTGATGTTTAAAAAGGATCCTTCAAAGTTCAGCTCTTTTAGCCCAGGGCTTTCAGACAGTTTGCAAGCTTTCACTAATGTGTCCCTCGTTTCACCCTCAGCTCCACAGATTTCCCAATACCCAAGCCAGCTGGAATACTGGCGGAATTTTGTGTTTACCCCCTAACCGCACCCTAGGGTCTATCTAACTCCCTCTCATCACACCCAAACAGCTGTAAACCTCTGGCTAACAGTGAGCATTTATCACTTTAATGAGGACATTTAGCTGTCGCTATTAAGGGACAAACCATTAGAATGCCAAAGAATTCCCTTTCTTGGTTAAGTGCCTGTGTTCCACTCAGGTGAAGGTAACCCAGAGTGCATATATGTTATAGTCACATTTTCTATCCATCTATCCATCCGTCTGTCAAATCTATCTATCTATTGTTTTATATATCATTAAAAAGTATACAATAACTTAAACAATATGGTATTACGACTATAGAATTAGTGACTATACTTCAATAGTTTTATATTTAACCTGTTTATTTGATTACATACTTTTTTTTTATCATGTTTTTGTTTCATATGTGTATGATTCAAATCAAACAAAATCCATAAAGCAATTTTAAAGGAATGGTTCACCCAAAAATGTGAATTGACTCACCCTCAGGCCATCTAAGATGTAGATGAGTTTGTTTCTTCATCTGAACACATTTGCAGAAATGTAGCATTAAATCTCTTGCTCATGAATGGATCCTCTGCAGTGAATGGGTGCCGTCAGAATGAGAGTGCAAAAAGCTGATTAAAACATCACAAGTAATCCAGTCCATTCATTAACCACCTGTAAAGTGAAAAACAGCATACTTGTAAGAAACAAATCCATTATTAAGAGATTTTTTTTTAACTTCACACCCTTCCGCCTTTTATCCATAACATTGTTTTCTCCAGTAAAAAGTCATCTTGTCTGAATCAGGAGAGAAATATACACAGATCAAGCACAGGTTACAAGCAAAAACAGTCCAAAACAGAACTATTTCATTAAAAAACACAAAAATATGCTATAAAATGTTATGAATTTGACACAACAAAACAAACAAACACATAAGAGATGTCAACCATGTTAGGAAAAAAAAATAGCCTATAGAGTGTGCAGTTGTTCTCTTTCAATTAGGAAAAAAACAAAAAGAAAAAAACAAAACAACTACATCCAATTAAAGCTCAAGCATTCACTTAATTCATATGGCTGAACTTACAAGACAAATGTCATCTTCCTTTAATTTGATGCCCTTTTCTCAGTGGAATCAACCAACAGAGGCCATGATGTTTGAAGAGGCAGGAACATTCCCGATGAGAAGGGAAGCAATTATACAGCAGTTTCTCAACACTAGAGGTAGCGGCCGCGGGCCTGTCACACTTCACCGTCATGCAGAAAATTGGCCATGCTCAAGCTGTGAACTCTAGGAACAAATTTAACCATATCAGGCCAGTATTCCTCAGCTGGACCAACTACTTTATGGCCAAGCAAGTGGATAAATTTGATTTGTCTAATTCCCAACTCTGCTTTGGGATATAGGTCATTGGCTCTCAAAACCAAATGTTTGTGTACTTTGAACTTTAACCATCAATAATGAATTTAATGTTAAAATGATATTACACATAATTAAACGGAAGAAATAAATAAAAATATCTATGTAATGTAATTTTGCTCAGATACAAATTTGTCTTTTAAAGGATGTTTAGACACTTTTACAAGACAAAAATACTGAACACATTAAACATTGTTCTTTTTGCGCTGAAGCTCTCAGATGATAGGAAGTTGTGATGTAAAGTAGTTCTGGGCAGCAGTTCTCTATCATAAATGCATGAGCGAACACGACATTGACATTCTGCAGACAGGTCTGAGGAGTCCGATTTCCTCACATCGGCAACCAAGAAAGTGCATGACTGAAAACCCTCATACGAGTCGGCAACAGAAAATGTTCACAGCGGAAATTGGAAATTCTCACAGTGCTGTTTCTGCCCTGGTTGCGATGGGCATCCGAGTGGGATCAGAGATAACGTGTGCATGGCTGAGGTACGGATCTGAGCAGATGTCAGGCGCTGTATTGCTTGCACTGATTTGAAGTTTGTCAGCGGAAACAAATCTCTGCATTTGCTAAAAAGAACAGACAACTTCTGTTTGTCGGTTTTATTTTGTTTTTGTTATATGCTGTTAATGTAGGAATAAGTACAAGACGATACACAAAAAAGTTGTACTTCAACTGTAGACAACTTTCTTCAACAGTAGTTTTAATCTTGTTTTCCAGTAATAAAATAAAGTAAATATCTAAACATCCTTAAAAACAAGAACTTAAATTGCTATGTGTAATGCTATCAACATATTACAATATGTTGACTTGTTTTACAAGAATATATTTTGAATTAACTTAATTTTTATTTTTTTTGATAAAGTTTGTTCTTGCAGCATAGACCTAGCACATTTAACAGTGCAAGAAACTTTAATACAAGCAGTATTGCTTATCAATAAAAATGCATCTTGTTTAAAGGATACTGTTACTGGAACACAAGACAAAATGCTGATGAAGAAAATTATTTTTGCAATGTAGCAAGGCAGGTTTTTCAAACAGTATTTACAAGGATAATGCTTACAATATTCAATATCCACTTCCAGAGGAGTCATTTGGCAGGATAGCATTTTTTGTCATGGATTTTAAATTATGAATATGTAATATTATGCATAATTTAATAAATATGAAAAAGTATGCATAATCACACTAGACTAGAACGTGCTCCCTGTTGTTAGGAAACTTGTTGTAGAAATGTACATTGTATAATATGAAATCTCAAAGGGTGATAAACTGTTGAATTTTCATTTCAGTACATAAAATGTGATGCAATAAAAAAAAAATACAAAGAAATAAAACAAAAACGAATAATTAAGGTAAGTAAAACCCAAAAGAACCCCAAACAAATCAACAACAACAACAAAAGCTTGTGACAATTGCTATTAAAGGAATAGTTCACCCAAAAATGAAATCTTGCAGAAAACTTACTCACCCTCAGGCCTCCAAGATGTAAAGATTGTGTCTTCAATAGAACAGATTTGGAGAAATTTTGCATCACATCACTTGCTGACCAATGGATCCTCTGAAGTGAATGGGTGCCATCAGAATGAAAGTTAAAGAAACAGCTATAAAATCCATCAATAATGCATTTTTACTTTAAACCATTGCTTCTGGCTAAAATATGAGCCTATAATCCATAATAATGCTTCCTCCAGTAAAAAAGTACATCCCCTGTTGTCCTATATAAGTTTACAACTGTTTTGGTTTGTGAACGGTACTTGATCTGTGCATATTTCTCTTCTGATTCAAACAACACTTTTTCACTGAAGAAAGCAATCTTATGTATAAAAAAACTCATATTTTAGCAGGAAGCAATGGTTTAAAGTGAAAATATCTTTATGATGGCCTGGAGTTATGTGGATAACTTATGGATTATTGTGATGTTTTTATCAGCTGTTTGTACTCTCATTCTGACAGCACCCATTCACTGCAGAGGATCCATTGGTGAGCAAGTGATGTAATGCTAAATTTCTCCAAATCTATTCTTATGAAGAAACAAACTCAATTACAACTTGGATTGCCTGAGGGTGAGTAAATTTTCATCAAATTTTCATTTTTGGGTAAACTATTGTTTTAACAATTCACTTATTTTAGTTAAGTTTTTACGTATCTTTATATTTTACAAATGTCAACAACCTCAGAGACCTGCTTGTATCTTTACCATTATGAAAAACAGCTCAGCTGTGTAGGATATTAATACATCGAACACAACCTGACCTTCACAAACCCTCATCAGATCTGTGTCCACTCCGGGCTCCTTCATTTAACACTCGCTCGCGAGCACAAACGGTAATCACAAATCGCTGATTGCAGCAAAGAGACGAGAGAAGCAATAAGGGAGAAATCTCTCATTATCATGCAATCACTCTGTGTTCTATAAATCGAAAGGCACAAGCGATGCAGATTTTGACGCCGTATCACCAGAAGCAGCAAGAGGAATGTGACACGGAACAGACATATAGTAATGCAAATGTCAATCACCCTGAAAATGGATTGTTTCAGATGAAGGATTATTTTGCGCTAGTCTGACAGCTTCTGAAAGCCTGAATGTTATGATTGGATGACTGCTGTTTGACCAAAGACAGATGAGATGATAGGAGAAACAAACACTTGACGGCGCAGATAAAGTCAACAGGTGATACGTACTTGGGAGTTTCCAAGCATTGTTTTTTTTAATTGAAATTAAGTTGTGCAAATATCAGACTACGTTTATCAATCTTAAAGTAACAGGTCAGCTAAAAATGAAATGTCTGTGATGATTTATTCACCCTCATGTCATTTCAAACCTGTAAGACGTTCTTTCTCGAAACATAGAAAGAAGAAATTAATTGACCAGGAAGAAAGTAATTCAGGTTTGTGTTAAGTAAATGATGTTTTCATTTCATTGCTGGGTGAATGATTCATTTAATGCTTACAATCATCTAACATATTGAAACAGATGGCAGCATGCGGATATAGATCACCACTGTGCTCTAATATGACAAGGAAATTCTGTAGCTTTATTATCACATGATTTTGACTGTCGATCAGACAGTTTATCCATTTTCAGTGTAGTTTTGCTGTGAAATTTGAATGAATAAATGAACATGTATACACATCTGATCGCAGTTCAACTAAATGTAGAATCACAGCATCCAGTGCCGCACAACAGCTTTTAAAATTTGTAAGTAATAAAGTAAATCTAAAGCGCAGCGATTCAAGCAGGGCTCCGGGTGGCATCCACTACATCGAATCATTAGCGTTCTCTGAAGTACGCACACTAAAATCAACATAAATAACAGAAAAATACACAATCCCAGAGTGTTCCCAAATAAATCTCAAGATGATGATCCGTAAAGTACTCGATATGTTACCTAATGCATCCTGACTCGCACAAAAGGGAAACATTTAGAAATTGACATGTAGAGTCCTTTTGTAACAGCCTGCAAAAATAAAGGCGAGCCACTCACATCGAGAGCATCCATCTGTACACATAGAAAGAACGGTGTTAAGTCTTCACTTCTACCAAGTGCTTGGCATTTTTCACAGTGTGTGATTTCAGCAGTCTGCCGTGTGATTTACGGCGCTCTGACACTATTGTTTCTGTCCCAAATATGGCAGATGGAACACCTAAATACTGCGGCAGCTGAATGGGCTTGTCCAACATGCAAGAGTGTCACACTTTGCAGGAGCTCCATGAGCTCAAAGGTAAGTGAAGTCTTGTAAAGTATAAAGTGAAAACAATATTTGTGGTATTTCACCACCCATAATGTGTAAAACTGCCACCGAATCTTTCTGGGTCTCACCGCATTTAAATAAACCTCAAGTGCACAGTTAAAGATTGGTGCGGAACTCGCCACCTCAGTTCAGAGCAGAAACATTCCCGCAGAGAAGCTCTGAGGGGTCACTTCTTATGGAAGCCTGCATCATTTCCTGTTGAAGCCAACATCAAGTGAGGATTAGCATAATTCTGGCCTCCACCCTCATGAGGTGGAGGGCCATATGGGCAGCGGATGGGCCTCGGTGTTGAACACGTACTTATCCAGACTGATCAGCTCGTTGTCGTCAGAGAACAAGAGGAACAGATACTTCAGTGTCTCGCCCAGGAAGAAACTCTCCATCTTATCTCTGGGCGAGGGGTACACGGGGTCACGGACATTACTTATGGAGGTGTAGCCCCCGCTGGGGACCTGGGACAGGAAGTGAGTAAAGAAGTCAAGTTTGTGTTCATTGGGCACTGAATGTTTATGAATGGGACCAACAAGCCAATTATTGTCATTTTATAGCTGATTACAGATAAGTGGATGATATTAAAATTCTATATTATTTTGTCTAAAAAAAATCCCCTAAAAACTAGAATGGTTAAAGGCTACAAGTGAATTGAGGCATCAATTTTGAAGTTTGCCCAAGGTTATATTTAAAGGGGTCATATGATGTTGCTAAAAAGAACATTATTTTGTGTAATGAAATGTGTTTATGCGGTGTAAGGTTAAAAAAACACATTACTGTGTTTAAACACCTATGCACATTACATTTCCACATACTGTACATTATTGTTTCTCCTCTATGCCCCGCCTTTCTGAAACACGTCGATTTTTACAAAGCTCATCGGTCTGAAAAGCGAGGTG